GTTTCTGAAGGGAATGCGCCCCCGATCTACATAAATGTGTCTATGTTCGCGCAAATCATTCATGATCCAGCCTCATCTACAGAAGAAGTGAGTATAATGTTTTGTAATGAATCTTTGCAAATCGCCTTTCCTAATAATGTGCTAATTAGCGAGTTTAACGATGAATGCGGCTAAAGTAAACAGTCTCTCTGAGAGCAGCTCGGAAGAGAGGGGCGGGGTCAGCAGAGCTCATTAACATTTAAAGGAAAATGCTACAAAAACGGCTTGATCTGAAAAGAGCTGTTTTTGACAGGGTAAAAAAGGTGTTTTTTTACACTACCATTGAGAAATTTTAACCAAATTATGTTACAGACTTTTCATTAAGACCCCAAAGTATCATATCAACTTGTGGAAGATGGGCATCCTATGACCCCTTTAACGAACCTGATTCTGAACTTTCTGTCTGTCCTGTTTTAGCCAAAGAGTCTGATGTTGAACCATCTGTCTGTCCAGTTCCAAACAGGGAACCTGTTATCTGCCCCATTAGTCCAGTTATGAGCCCAGAAAATTTAAATGGACTCAATGTCTGTCCCGTTAACCCTGTCACTGCCTTCGAGGCCATTCAGGAACTGTCTGCTTGTTCTGTTTCCTCAAATGTGTCTGAACTGTCTGTCTTGCCAGTCCTAGTTAGTGAGTCTAATTATGAACTGTCTGCCTGTTCTGTTTTCTCAAATGTGTCTGATGAACCGTCTGCCTTGCCAGTCCTAGTCTGTGAGCCCGTTTATGAACTGTCTGCCTGTCCAGTTTCAGTCAGTAAGCCTGTTTGTGAACTGTCTGCCTGTCCAGTTACAGTATTTGAGCCCGTTCATGAACTGTCTGCCCATTCAGTTGTCACCAGGGAAAATATTGATGAACTTAGTGTGTTCCCTGCCTCGGTCCTTGAGACCATATATGCTCTGTCTGTTTCTTTTGTCTCAGTTTTCCCTAGTTCCCAGTCTCTACCAGGGGTCTCTGCTCCATCTGCTCAGTCACGGTGGCCTTCTGCTTTGCCGTGGTGGTCTTCTGCTCTGTCCACTCCACCGTGGTGGTCTTCTGTCTGGCTCTGGTGGTCTTCTGCTCCGTTGTGGTGGTTTCTGCTCTGTCCACTCCACCGTGGTGGTCTTCTGTCTGGCTCTGGTGGTCTTCCGCTCCGCCGTGGGGATCTTCGGATTCGTCTGCTCTGCTGTGGTGATCCTTAGTGCCACCTGTTCTGCTGGTTCTGTCCTGGCGCCCTGCTCTGCTGACTCCAACCTGGTTTCCTGCTCCGCCCTGGTTTCCTGCTCTGTCGGCTCCACCCTGGCTACCTGCTCTGCCGGCTCCACCCTGGCTACCCGCTCTGCCAGCTCCACCCTGGTTTCCTGCTCTGCCGGCTCCAACCTGGTTTCCTGCTCTGCCGGCTCCGCCCTGGCTACCTGCTCTGCCGGCTCCGCCCTGGTTTCCTGCTCTGTCGGCTCCACCCTGGCTACCTGCTCTGCCGGCTCCACCCTGGCTACCCGCTCTGCCAGCTCCACCCTGGCTACCCGCTCTGCCGGCTCCAACCTGGTTTCCTGCTCTGCCGGCTCCACCCTGGCTACCTGCTCTGCCGGCTCCGCCCTGGTTTCCTGCTCTGCCGGCTCCACCCTGGATTCCTGCTCTGCCGGTTCTGCCCTGGCTACCCGCTCTGCCGGCTCCACCCTGGCTACCCGCTCTGCTGGCTCCAACCTGGTTTCCTGCTCTGCCGGCTCCACCCTGGCTACCTGCTCCGCCCTGGTTTCCTGCTCTGCCAGCTCCGCCCTGGTTTCCTGCTCTGCCGGCTCCACCCTGGATTCCTGCTCTGCCGGCTCCAACCTGGTTTCCTGCTCTGCCGGCTCCACTCTGGCTACCTGCTCTGCCGGCTCCGCCCTGGCTACCTGCTCGCTCCCTGCTCCGCCTTGGCATCCTGCTCTGCTGACTTTGCCTCAGTCCCCTGTCTCTTCACTTCCACATGGACCTGGCCCTCCTCTCCACCACCCTCCTGGATTGTACTATGTTGGGAGCATCTGGAAGCCGCTCCTTGGGGGGATTTATCTTCACAGCATGTGAAGATAAAGCTAGTATAGTTTTCAGATCTCAAGACCCTTCCTCATCTTTACAGAGCTTTATTTGTAACAATAGTCTTAGTTTCAATGTCAAGGGGACTGACATTATTTTGAATATAAACCAAGTAGATTTTTATATACTCTATAGTGGTTTTGGAGTGCATTGATGCCTTGAAGCCTTCTCAGTGATTGTGGCAGATAATGAGCTCGCTCCACGGGCCGTGAACACAGAGACGCTCAACAGCAAAGCTCTGGGACTAATAAATGCTACAGGCCTCTCGCAGACTGACGAAGACATGATTAATAACTGTTAAAGAAAATGTTGCACAAACAGAAATGTCTAAAAATTATAATTTAGTTATAGCTAGAGGGCTGTCCTTTTTAAAGGCAGACCACACAGTTTGTTGCTGAAGATAGCGGCGAGTGGAGATGGAGCGGCACTATTGATGTTTGTGAAGGGGACATCAATACTGCGCTGTAATAAAGCTCTGTAGACTGCAGGGAGCCTCAATCGTGTTTCCTCGCCCCCAGTCCGCACACACACCCTTCTATCGTGCTTCCTGCATCCCTGCTCTCAGATGTAATTACTTTGCTTGGCTATTCATTTAGGAAGTCATTGTCAAGTAAAATCATCTCTGACTGTGATAAGCGAGCAGAGCTGTGTGTGTTAATCTCCAGGGTATTATAGGTCATTCCTTTTATGCAAAACACTTTTTATGTCCCCATCGTATGTGTTAATATATTGGATAAAATATTAAACACTCTATCTTTAAATAATTGTTTTCTTTATCCAAATCAAGCAAATATGGAGGGTTTTATGCCATTTTATTGCTTTGGTTTGAATGTTTTTCATTTTTGCCATGTCTTCTGGCCCACTATAGCTTCTAAAATACAAACTACTCATTTATTAATAAATATTAAAAAAATATATATTTTTCACCTCTCTGAATGGATTTCAAAAATAAATGTTTATGACATTAAAGAGTCTCATTCCTTAATAATTGCCCTAACAATCCCTAATAATTTGTGTTTATGTGCACAGTAAGACTTTTCACCAATAAACAGCCGTGTAAACATGAATTTGTTCCTAACTCTATTCTAATATTAATAAAAAATTGGATTAATGTAAATGGGAAACTAGGTGCTTGCAGTTAATCATTTGCATAAAACACAACCCATAATCTCCATATTAAGTGTTTCTTTACAACCTCGCTTCTCAATTTTAATTTTTCCCCTGTTCCCCAGTATCTCTTTAGTATTTTGTGAAATTCCTTTAACAAAAGCCAGTTCCTTAAATGTGTGCTGCAGTGTTTATGTATTTTTGTAGGCAAAACCAGAGGTTCGCATCACCCTGGTTTCCTCAACAAAAAGCTGACAAGATTCTTCCATTGGCTTTTGGATTATTGTGTAAAATAAGCTTTGTGACCAACAAGATTCTTATGCATTTTGCTCATCATGATAATCTTTAAAAAAAAGCTGTACACAGCTTGTATGAATTTTGAAGCCTAAATACAATCATCAGGAGCAAAAGGTTAAATATAGGCTATAAACTAGTGTTGGGTCCGAATCCACCTTGTCAAATCTGAGTCCTTAACCAATTGTGTTTGAGTGGGAGACATTTATTAATGTCTTTTTTATCTTAATTTTGTTAATATTTGTGAATTTATTTTATCTTTCATGTTACATGACATGGATTCGTCCAAAAATGTCAGAGTCTGTGTCACGTTCGAGTACAAGTCCACCTGAGTTCATTCATAATTGCAGTCAAAGTCCTAAATCCAAGTACCCCAAGTCTACTATAAATGAACTACACCACATAACTTCAACGTCACCACCATTAAATTTCCGTCAACTCTTTCAGTCTTTATTTTAAAACATTTTGCCTGAAAGTTTGAGTTAAAAGTGTTTGCAAGTGCGATTATAACCGCAACGAGGCTGTGAAAGTAGTAAACTAGCGAGTAGATGAGTTTACCTGTTTGGTGTGATGATGTTTAATGTCCTCAACAACTTCTGTAGTCTCATTTAGCCACTTGTTAGCAGGTGCCTTTTTCAAGACAAGTGAGAGCTTTAAAAAAAAATAAAAATCACAAGGGGGTATTGCTGATGTGTTTTTTATGTTGTAGAATATAATGTGAAAATATATTGCACTTGTGCTAACCACAGACCTTATTTCAGACATTTAACCAAAAACCCATTCAAATAAACCTTTTGACTTCAGGATGATGGAACTAGAAATGCTAAATGTTAATTTGTTTCCAGGTTTTGACGTACAAAAATACATCAGCACTCTATGACAACATCCTCCAGGAAATTAGATCATTTTGGTTCCGAATTACAGTATTAGATAATAGGAAAATTTGCTAAAATTTAAATACTATATTGATATACTTCTGTGCAGCAGCATATTCATTTTTTTAAACACTACAGAGTTCAAAAGGTACTGCATAATAGAGAGGACGCCTATAAAAGCTGCATGGTAAAGCCAGACTGAGGGTCCCCAGGTGAGGGCCACGCAACTCCCCAACTGATCCCGCTTCACTCCCTTAATACCTGTACAAGCACAACAAACGAGCAGGAAAGTGCTGTCCTGACAGTTTGCGGCCGCTGTGCCGTTGAACCAGGAGTGCAGTGTTCTAGTGATGTGTCGTGGCGAGGAGAGCTGGGCAGGGCAGGTGTTTCCTGCATCCCCAGGGAGAACGCAACTACACCTGCAGGCCATGTGATGGATCGATGGAAGAGGAACTGACTCAGCGCTCTAGCCCTGCACAGGACCTGACTGAAACACTCTGTCATCACACAAACAATAACAGACATTCATCTTTTAGCATCGGCAGGGGAGGCTGCAGCCTCGTGCTCGTGCAGGACTGATGAGGGCAGTAAAGGGAAGGAGACTGCTTGGTTTAGGAAATGGTTCTGTGGACCCACCGTGTCAAGCGGAGCAAACAGCCTCTTCAGCAAAGCTTCTTTATAAAGCACAAACACCTGCCTCCTCTCAGATGCCTAAAATCTCCACATTACACAAGCTAACAGCAAACAGCCGTTTAACACCATCCCACTGACACTTACTGAGTCATCATGTTTCACCCAAACAAACTTCATTAGTCATTTGCATCACATTCAGTTACAGTAGATCCTCTATCTAACCACTGCTACGCAGCAAATATGCAAGACTATGTAAGACTAGTTAAATCACACAGAACAGCGGACTCAAGTATTGAGTCAAAAGTCAATTGCACAAATGCTTATGTTGGCTTTAAACTAGTTTAGTATTAGCATTGTCTTAAATGATAATTTTTGGGGTTTTATAATTGTTGTAATGTTTACATTTAGCTGAAAAACCCTTGAATAGTCTATAATAGACCTACATTTTAAATACAGATTAGATTAAAAAAAAAAAAAAGGTCAAACAGGTATTCTACTCAGTGTGAAAACCACTGACATTCAATTTTTTTTCATTTCCAAATAGGGTTTAAATGTAAAATGTTAATATATGTGCCTATCCAGAAATGGACTAAAATTACCGTAAACCTACAAGAAGAAATATTAACTTGACTTGACACTGGTGTCAACTTACCCCGCGTCTTCATTCTTTGTAAGCCTATAAAAGATGGATAGAGAGATTCATAACCATGTCACACGAGGTTTAAAGATGGCAATTCAATGCGATAATATGAAAACGATCAAGCCGTAATTAGAATCCTTCATTAGACAACCCTGAAAGGTGACACCGATCAAAATGGCGTGTTCTGTTGTGTTTTGTGGACGTGCAGTTCCTGTGTTATTCAGTAGAGGGCAGCGTGTTCACACCAGCTCCACATAACACGGGTGGCCGGCGCTTACCGAAGGCCTATGAAGAGAGTGCATCTCTATCGTTTAAGAAGCTTACCATTGCACATGAAATTAAGAATCGATTTTTCATTCATGAAAGTCTTATTGTACCTCAGAGGTTCGCCTGCAATAGTAGACACGAGGAAATGCACATCGGTTTGAACAGACTCGTAGAGACCGAGTGTCTGAGAGTAATAGATGGACTCCAATATTACGCTCACAAACCTTTGAGGCATATTAAAAATGGGAAGCTAATCTTATCTAAAAGTAACATGCTTTGAAGGTGTTATGAAAAGCTGCTTTGTGCGTGCATCGCCGCCGCCCCGCATACTCATAAATCTTCAGGTGAAATAATTGTTTACAGTTGAAATTAATGTAACACGCATTCCTCAGCAGCTAATAAATTAGAGATGCTCTCATTAGCATTTGAATTGATTCCCCCCCTAATTCTCATCCAGCACACAACACATGCGGCTGGGGCTCGCTCAACTTTTCTCTTTCTTTCTGTTTTTCTTTCTTTCTCTGGATTCCCAAGCAACTACAGAGAAAGAAGAAGAAGAAGAAGTGCAGGTTGAAAAGAAAAAAAAAACAATGACTATAAAGCCAAAGCTTGTCATTGGTATGCAAAAAGGGTGTCCCTGGTTATTTATTTTGTTTTACTTTTGTTTAGACCTTGTTGTGTAGAACATAATAATTTATGGCTTCAGTTAATCTGTGGTTTGCAGTGTAATATTCTCTCTATGGTGTACAATTCAGGAGTTCTGGTGCAAGCAGTTTTGAGTAGTTCATCCAATAATGAAATTGTCATCATTTACTCACCTTCATTGAATCACTCTGCATGACTTTTGTTTAAACTCGTACAGTGACCTCTGAACAAGTGCCATAAAAGTAGTTCATTTGACACATGTGCATGTGGTTTTCTCTCTCTTCTTTGGTACCGATTGCAACATTATTGCAGCAGTTTGAATGTCTCACTTTTCACCTTTTTTGTATAAAAGCAGCTTGGTAAGACATGTTTTGCATTTTGTCGAAAAAATACAGTCATACTGTGTTAGAATGACAGGAAGCTGGCCAAAATATCATCTGAAAATGTTAATGTGTGTCCTCATTTTTATGGAAAGATCCATAAAAATAGGGCTCGGTGTAAAATAAGGCATTTTCCAAATGGATTTTTAACCGGTTTTGCCCATGAATTACATGTTGCATTGTGTTTTAGGGTTTAATGAGATGTCTGTAAACTTAACAGAAAACGTCCCAGCGGAAAATGTTTTTCTATTAACAATTCTTAAACTATTACATTTCCCCCCAATCCTAAATATGTGGTTTTGGCCTTGGTTTGTGCAGCTGATTTCACCCAGATGATGAACCTGTTTGGAGGATTAGACCAGTTCTTGAAGAGGCAGAAAGGACCTGTCTGTCGGGTCTGGTACTTCAGTGTGTGTGTGTGTGAGTGGGTTGGTTGGCAGTGCTCTCTTATCTTGTCCTGTGCTGCTTATCTGTTGAGTGTACAGCAGCAGGTCTGCTCAGAGTCCAGAGCCCAAACCTCCAACCATGAACAAGAGAGAAAGCCAAACACTCACACGTGATCATTTATGCGATCTATATGAGGACATAGATTTCTAGTCTTTTCAAATAACACTCATTTTAATGACCCCAGACTAACCCAAACTCTAACCCTACTTGTTTTCTTATAACACTATTGCTATAAGACACGGTTGCAATTTTGTCCCCCAAATTAAACCCACACATCAGAGCTGTAACCACTACAGACAATATTTAACACAGTAGTCAATTAATATGCTTTTGTGTGTGTGTGTGTGAACAAATGTACACTTAGATGTATTGTATGTGCACTTGCTTGTACTTCAGGTCTTAAAAGTACATAATAAATAACATTAATGAACTAAAATGCCACTTAAGTGAAGCGTTCACTTTCATGAGGTTTCTTAACACACTTAAGTACACTTTTAAAACATGTATCTTGTCATAATTAAAAGCTTTACTAACTTTTAAATCCTTATTCTTTAATAATCTTTTGTTATGAATTAAAGAATTACACTTATTTTGATGTGCTGACTAACATACAAAAACACATAAAAAATATACTTTCTATTAACAATTCTTAAACTATTACATTTCCCCCCAATCCTAAATATGTGGTTTTGGCCTTGGTTTGTGCAGCTGATTTCACCCAGATGATGAACCTGTTTGGAGGATTAGACCAGTTCTTGAAGAGGCAGAAAGGACCTGTCTGTCGGGTCTGGTACTTCAGTGTGTGTGTGTGTGAGTGGGTTGGTTGGCAGTGCTCTCTTATCTTGTCCTGTGCTGCTTATCTGTTGAGTGTACAGCAGCAGGTCTGCTCAGAGTCCAGAGCCCAAACCTCCAACCATGAACAAGAGAGAAAGCCAAACACTCACACGTGATCATTTATGCGATCTATATGAGGACATAGATTTCTAGTCTTTTCAAATAACACTCATTTTAATGACCCCAGACTAACCCAAACTCTAACCCTACTTGTTTTCTTATAACACTATTGCTATAAGACACGGTTGCAATTTTGTCCCCCAAATTAAACCCACACATCAGAGCTGTAACCACTACAGACAATATTTAACACAGTAGTCAATTAATATGCTTTTGTGTGTGTGTGTGTGAACAAATGTACACTTAGATGTATTGTATGTGCACTTGCTTGTACTTCAGGTCTTAAAAGTACATAATAAATAACATTAATGAACTAAAATGCCACTTAAGTGAAGCGTTCACTTTCATGAGGTTTCTTAACACACTTAAGTACACTTTTAAAACATGTATCTTGTCATAATTAAAAGCTTTACTAACTTTTAAATCCTTATTCTTTAATAATCTTTTGTTATGAATTAAAGAATTACACTTATTTTGATGTGCTGACTAACATACAAAAACACATAAAAATATACAAGTTAAATAAACAAGATATACAAGTTTATTATATAAAAGCATATTTCAGTTTACTATAAACACTTTAACCGTACTTCAAAGACAACAGAAGTAATTATGAAATTACATATTTAAGGGTCCTATTTAGGGGGTCAAAAATCACTCTAGAGATAAACTAATTGCAACTAACATAATTTTAAACTATAGCCTAATACAGTACAATTAATTTTGCAATTGACATTACATCGATTTCACACTTAAATACTAGGTATTATTTTGAAGTATATAATTTCCAAAATAAGTACTCTTTTTAAAAGTATGCTTTTAAAAACTTATTTATAGAGCATAGAGTATTATAGAATACTTATAGAGTATTTCTAAAAAAAGTCATAAAGATTTGGAAAGATATGAGGGCAGTAAATGATGACAGCATTTTCATTTCTATATTAGGCCTATCTCTTTAATTTTTAATTCTAAATCTTGAGTTTTTGATTACATCCTTGCCACACACACAGTTAAAGTACCAAAAACATTATTTCAGACACACACACAAATAGCTGTGAACATAAAATCCGCTAATACTAAACTAAACACCAGCAAACAGCTCCACATTAACCTCTGATCCTCTATCACTACACTAATAGTCTCTCTCAATGTGTGTGTGTGTGTGTGTGTGTGTATGTGTGCGCGCGTGTGTGTGTGTGTGCGTGTGTGTGTGTGTGTGTGCGTGTGTGTGTGTGTGTGTGTGTTTATTGAAGTTGCATAATTAAGCACTTGTGCTTTAGAATGTCAAACTAAAATAAGTGTATTTCTTTAAAGCATGACAAAAGATTATTATTATTATATTAATACGCTGATTTAAAATGTAATTTAAATTAAAACCTTTCATTATTAAAAACAATATTATTAAAAAGTGTACCCGTTATGACACGGTCATGAACGTGAACTGTTTTTATGTACAAGCGGCCTTTTCATTTACATTTATGCATTTAGCAGACGCTTTTATCCAAAGCGACTTACAGTGCATTCAGGCGATACATTTTTTTACCAGTATGTATGTACTTTTCATTAATATTATATTATTTACAATTGCATTTTTAAAAATATATATTTTAAAATAAAATGATATGCTTAGAAGTACACAAGTGCACACTTAACAGAATTAAGCACACTTATTTTATATATATTTATTTATTTTACAGGGGTTGGTCACACTAGGTGACCAGCTAACTACCTTAGGTTGGTTTATGATGTCCTTCAGTTTTTCACTTCCACTGATTTATAAAGCTGAATCTGTGACAAAATTTACTAAATCAAATCATTTTAGATTGTAGATGCACTCTCACTCC